CATGGACAAGGACAATAGAGTAGGGATTGTCTTTGGGAGTGGAGGCTGGAAGGGACAGGGGAAAGCAACAAGGGCGGCGGTGGGGGGGGGGGGGGGACACATGGAGAGAACTGTAACTGAACAACAACAAAAAAAGTATCTCAACTTTTGCTAGAAATATGGTTGTGGGCAATTTAAACTGTATGATAGCGTCAAAAAGATTATTCAGTTAGGATTTGAAAGAGCATCATATTTTTAATAAAAATTTTTAAAAAAAATTTTTAGAGATAGGGGAAGGGAGGGAGAAAGAGAGGAAGAGAAACATCAATCTGCAAGAAAAACACATCCATTGGTTGCCTCTCACACCCCAGGTGGGAACTAGCCCACAACTCAGGCATGTGCCAGAATGACAACCTAGTGAGCCATGCTGGTCAGGGCCTGAAAGAGCATCTTTAAAAGAAGCATTAAATGATCTCAACAACAATGACCTTGGCCAAGTGGTGTAATGTGGGTGGTCAGCATGGGTGATCAGGGGTTCCTATCCTGGGTAGGACACATGATAATGGAGAAGGCCCACTCCTGGCACCAATTATTAAGAACCCAAGTGGGTTGGGCATCATCTCACAAACCAGAAGGTCACTGGTTTAGTCAGTTCCAGGTCAACCAATGGATGTTTCTCTTACACATTGATATTCCCCTCCATCTCTTTCTCCCTCCTTTCTCTCTCTCTAAAAAATAAGTAAATAATATACATATATAAATATATATATAACACCCAAGGAGAGTAATTATTCTTCAGAACTGGTGAAGACATTCAAATGTCACCAGATTCCTTTTATTTAAATTTATTTATTTATTTTTTACTTTTTAATTTTAGAAATAGGAAGTGAGGTGGGGGGGAGGGAGGAAAACATCAATTTGTTGTTCCACTTATGTATGCATTCATTGGTTGCTTTTGTAGGTGTCCTGACTGGGGATCAAATGGGCAACCTTGGAGTATTGAGAGGATCCTGCAACTAACTGAGCTACCCAGCCAGGGCTACAATGTGTTTTTTTTAAGACGATAACGTATTTGTTTTTAGCGAGAGGGGAAGGGAGGAAGAGAGGGAGAGAGTCCTGGCTGGTGTGGCTCAGTAAATTGAGCGCTGCCTGTGAACCAGGAGGTCCCTGGTTAGATTTCAGTCAGGACACATGCCTGGGTTGCCAGGGAGGTCCGCTGTTGGGGACAGGTGAGAGGCAACCAAACAACCAATGTCTGTTTCTCTCTCCCTTCCCCTCTCTCTGAAAATTAAAAGAGGGAGGGAGGGAGAGAGGGAGGGAGGGAGAGGGAGAGGGAGAGGGAGAGGGAGAGGGAGAGGGAGAGGGAGAGGGAGAGAGAGAGGGAGAGAGAGAGAGAGAGAGAGATCAACCAGTTGGTGGAGAGTATTATGCTAAGTGATATAAGTACACTGAGAAAAAGGCTTGGCCTCCATGTGCTGTTGAAACCACATAGCGTTCCATATACTGTTCATTGTCCCAAAGGGCCAGCTTTCTGCCTAGAGGGAATTCAAAGCCAGCTGAAGTTTTAGAAACTGCTTTAGGATTTAAGTTTTAGGAACTGCTTCAACATCAAGGAAGTTGGAGTTGCTCATGAAAAAGCAGCAAAATTCCACTCTGAAACATTTAACAAATTCACAGAAGCAGGGGGCTGTCTCCCAAGAAATTTTAAATGACAAGGGTAATCTTGCCCAAATGAACTTTTTACAACTCACTTTCTAATATCCTCCCCAGCTTTGTCCAGCGTCTCCACGCTGTAGACGCTCCCTCCCATGAGTCACTTAGTAGCCGTCTCTGTTATCAGATCGACTGTCTCAGTATCGAAGTGCTGGTGTTAAAGTAACCCTTTTTTTTACTTAATAATGGCCCCAAAGCGCAAGAGTAATGATGCTGGCAGTTCAAATATGCCAAAAAGAAGCCGAAAAGTACTTCCTTTAAGTGAAAAGATGAAAATTCTTGACTTAATAAGGAAAGAAAAAAAATCCTATGCTGAGGTTGCTAAAATCTACAGTAAGAACGAATCTTCTATCCGTGAAATAGTGAAGAAGGAAAAAGAAATTCGTGCTAGTTTTGCTGTTGCACCTCAAACTGCAAAAGTTACTGCCACAGTGCGTGATAAGTGCTTAGTTAAGATGGAAAAGGCATTAAGTTTGTGGGTGGAAGACATGAACAGAAAATGTGTTCCGGTTGACAGCACTGTGTTGCGCCAGAAAGCACTGAGCCTATACGAAGACTTCAGCAAGGGATCCTCTGAAAGGAGTGACATCAAGCCATTTACTGCAAGTAAAGGATGGTTACACAGATTCAGGAATAGGTTTGGACTGAGAAATGTAAAAACTGCAGAGGCTGTGCCTGGTGTTGAAGAAGCTGCCGCCACATTCCCGGCAGAGTTGAAGAAGTTGATTAAGGAGGAAGGTATGTATAGGAAAAAACAGTATATATAAGGTTTGGTATTATCTGGGGTTTTAGGTATCCACTGGGGGTCTTGAAAGGTATTTCCCCGCGGATAAGGGGGGACTACTGCACATCAGGAGTGGCTGTTTGCAAAGTTTTTTTTCCAGCTACACAGGCTGAAAAAGGAGCTGCTGTGGTCGCCACCTACCGAGGAGGAGGAGGGGGGGAGGGAGGAGGCGTGGGAGAGGGGGCGGGGGGATAGGGGAGGGAGGATGGGGAGGATGGCCGGCATGGCTTGAGTCCCCGGTGGGGAGAAAAATCGAAAAATCACAAAATCACTCAGTCGTGCGCTTTACATTAACATATACAACCTCTGGGTCAAGTTTTTTAAACTTTTGAGTTTAACTTAGGTTAACAGTAATGTCTGCATTTCCAAAATTCATAAGCTAATAATTAAAGCTGAGAAGCCAAAAATAACTGGGGGAAGGGATGGTTTTGAGTAAAATTGCTTAGCGGGTGAGTGAACAAAACGGGCTACAAATCATGTTATCTGTTCTCACTCCATGGTTTTTCCTAAACTTTCTTTCTAAATATCGTGTGCAGACAAGAGAGCAAAGCCTCAGGAGGTAAATAAAAACAGGAGTCCCGCCCCTCCCCCGTCAAAAGTCGGGGCAAACTGTTTCTTTTGAGGCACGCTTACAAAACTAACGGGAGCTCTTTGTGTCCCAGAGGGTGGTGCAGGGCGGAGAAAATCCCCTGGAGGAACAAGGAGGCCGCCAGGCCGCTCTTGGGGATACTCGGCCTTTGCCATGTCCCGGTCTCGCAATTTGCAGGGAATCTCGGATGCAAGAGTAAGTGCGATTCTTCGGCGGCGGCTGAAACCGGTCGGAGCTCCAGAGAGAACAAGCGGGAGCCACCACCGGCCTAGATTTTGGTCCCTGCTCCCCTCCCCCACCCGGGCGGCCGAACAGGCCCCAGGTGCAGCCATGTTCTCGATCCCACCACCCCGCGCCTCCATTGACAGTCCTTGCAGAGAGGGCCGGGCGCCGTGTTCTCCGCGTCCCCCGGCTCGGGGTTCGCTCGCCCGAGGCTTCCTGGGAGTTGTAGTCCACCGCCCCCGCCATCGCGTTAATGGGTACGAATCAGAAACTACAACTCCCGCTGGGCGGCGTTGCGGGTGCGCAAGCGCCGCGAGCCTTCGAGGGACAAAAAAAAAAAAAAAAGAAAAAGAAAAAAAAAGAGGAGGAGGGTGAGAGAGAAGCTCGGAGAGCAGAGAAAAGGGGCCACTGATCGCCCCCCCGCTTCCCCGCACGCGCTCTCTAGCTGTGGCCGCCCGCCTGCCGCGGTTACCCAGGCCCCTCTCTCGGTCCCTTGCGATTGGATCTAGGCTCTGAGCGAGGCCCTGTCGGGGCGGCCATGCGGCGGTGACAGAAGCTCGGCTGAGACGCACGGGCCCTCGCCCTCTCACCTCCTGCCCGCTAGTCAGCTCGCCTCAGCCTGAGGCTGCTCCGCCGCGGCCACAGCTCGCGTACGGCCCACACTCGCTTTCCTTCAGCACCCTTACCCCGGCGCTGCCTGGAGGCGGCTGCACTCGGGTGAGTCCCTGTCGCCTCATTCCCCCGTCCCCCGCCCCAGTTGCCATCGCGAGCAGGGCCTTTATTTGAGACTACCCCTTCGGGGCCTGCACGGACAGGAGCCTGGGGACTGTCGGCGGCCGTGTTGGGGGTACCCCGGCCCCCCAACCCCGAGCGGCTGGCGTTGGGGGTGGGGCAGGAACAGACGCGGTCGCGGGGGACGACAGTTGCACGCGCGCGCCTGGGTACTCATGGGGGAGGGGTGCGCGCGCCGGCGCCGTGTTATGGGGGGGGTCTCACGCGTGAGGCCCGCGCGCGAGCGAGCCTGCGGCTGCGCATGCCCGGCTGCTGATTGGCCGGCTCGGGCGGTGCGGGTGCGCGCGCGGTGCCAGGCTCGAGCTGTGGGGTCGCGCTTAGCCTGGTGTCTCCGGGGCTGGTGCGCCCAGGCAGCAGACGCGCCGGATTGGCCGCCGGGCGGCGGGGGCGGGGTCGGCGCCGCGGTGCTTGGTAACTTCGGCCGGTGGGCGGGCAGGCTGGGGAGCGTCGCCCCTCCCCGCCCCTCCCTGCCTGCGCCCAGGTGGAACCCGAAGTGGGCTTTGTCCCCGCCCGGCGGGCGCGCCTGCCCCGCGGGGCCGGTTTTTGTGGGGGGGAAATAAACACAATGACCGGAAGGAAAACCTTAGCCTTCAGGCCGCGAATATAAGCCGTCTGGATTGGGCCAGCACTCAGGCGGGTTTGAGGGGAGGAAGAAGACAAAAAACTGCAGTCTTTGCCTCCCCCCCTCCATTTTTGCTTATCCAAGTTTTTCCTTTATTAAAGCGAGGTTCGTTTATTTATTTTATTTTTTTAGTTTTATGGTTTTGCGCTAATTTGGGACTGAGAGTGTTCAGATGTCGGGTCTAGTTCAAGTAGTGCTCACTACTGCGAATGTTGGGGCCGGTACTGACTTCTCACCCTCCCTGCATTCAACTTTGCTGCAGACAATGGCTTGATAGGCCACAGTGCCTAAGAGTAATCTGTGGGTGCTAGTGCTAAAGAGACAAAAGGGGAAGCTAGTTTGCAACTGAGAATGTGCAGGAGAGTGCCCTGAGAAGGCAGGGCTTACCCCCCCTTCCCCTTAAAGCCTATGATTTGGGATGACTAATTTTATTTTCTACTGCAGTAGACATCCCCCCCCATCCACGGTTTTGCTTCCCGCGGTTCCAGTCGAGGTCAGAAATGGAAAATTACAGAAATAAACAATTCGTAAGTTTTAGATTTCTTGCGCCGTTCTGATTAAAGTGATGAGGTCCTGCTCTGTCCCGCCGGGATGTGAATCATTCCTTTGTCCAGTCTGTCCACACTATATACGCCACCAGCCGCTAATCAACGCTTTTGGTATCGCAATGCTGGTGTTCAACTAACACTTATTTTCCTTAATAATGGCCCCGAAGGGCAAGAGTAGTGATGCTGGCAGTTCGAATATGCCAAAAAGAAGCCGAAAAGTGCTTCCTTTAAGTGAAAAGATGAAAATTCTTGACTTAATAAGGAAAGAAAAAAAATCTTATGCTGATGTTGCTAAGATCTACAGTAAGAACGAATCTTCTATCCGTGAAATAGTGAAGAAGGAAAAAGAAATTCGTGCTAGTTTTGCTGTTGCACCTCAAACTGCAAAAGTTACTGCCACAGTGCGTGATAAGTGCTTAGTTAAGATGGAAAAGGCATTAAGTTTGTGGGTGGAAGACATGAACAGAAAATGTGTTCCGGTTGACGGCAGCATGTTACGCCAAAAAGCACTGAGCCTGTATGAACGCTTCAGCAAGGGATCCTCTGAAAGGAGTGACATCAAGCCATTTACTGCAAGTAAAGGATGGTTACACAGATTCAGGAATAGGTTTGGACTGAGAAATGTAAAAACTGCAGAGGCTGTGCCTGGTGTTGAAGAAGCTGCTGCCACAATTCCGGCAGAGTTGAAGGAGTTGATTAAGGAGGAAGGTATGTACGTATAGAAAAAAACATAGTACATGTAGGGTTTGATACTGTCTGCAGTTTCAGGTATCCACTGGGGGCCTTGGCGTATATACCCTGTGGATAAGGAGGGACTACTGTATATATATTTTTGCTTTGTCCATTCTTAAGCCACTGTAGTCTACTGCCTTGTGATTTCCTTAGCCTGCCTTTCAGTATCTTCGCTCACACCTGTAGGCTAGAATGGCTTTCTTTTCTTCAGGCTCTTCTTACTTATATGCATTCACTTTTTTTCAAGCCTACATGTCGTTTGGTCAGAATTGGCTCTTCTTACATTATGCCAATCAACTTGTTTGCCTCTTCTAGGAGGACATCTTATTTTCTCTATGCATGTGTTTGGTTCTGTCTTGTTTTCACATGTCTGGCCTACTCACTAGGTTTTAAACTCCTAGATGGGTAGGGATTAAGGCTTTTCTGCCTTTGTCTCTCCCCCTTCTAGTCTACAACTGTTAAAGTACTTTAACAACAGCTAACATTTGAATATTTATGTGTCTGGCATTGCTCTTAAGCCCTTACCATATGTTTTCTTATTTAATCTTCAGAACAATGCTTTAATTCCATTTTATAGATGAGGAACAAGCCTAGAGAAGCTGGGTAATTTACTCTTGATCACCCAGTCAAGGAAACCTTGACTCTTAAGATTTTGAATCTAGGCCATCTGACTCTTAACCCTGAAGCCAGTGGTTCTCAAACTACTTTGAGCATCAGCATCCCCTGGAGGACTTGCTAAAACACAATTGCTAGGCCCACCCCAAACCTGATTCTGCAGGTCTGGGGTGGGGCCCAGTAATTAGCATTTCTAACCAGTTCCCTCATGGTGTTGATGCTTCAAAACCTTTCACAATGACAGATTGTTTTAAGTTAGGAAAAGTTATAGATGTTTGCTTTTCATTAATTGAAAACTAGATCTTGCCCTGACTGGTGTGCCTCAGTGGGTTGAGCACCGGCCTGCAAACCAGAAGGAAGGTTGTGAGTTTGATTCCCAGTCAGGGCACATGCCTGGCTTGCAGGCGAGGTCCCCAGTTACAGGGTGTGCAGGAGGCAGCTGATCTATATTTCTCTCACACATTGATGTTCTCCCTCTTTTCTCTTCTCTCTTGAAATGAATAAAATCTTTAAATAAAAGAAACAGACTAGATCTTAAAAATAATTTGAGCTGTTTACAACTTATTGAGAGTTAAGGTTTTTTATTACCCATGATTACAAAATTAAGAGTTTAAAAAAGTCTCCAGTTTAAAAAAAGCCGAGGATGTTTAAATACAGAATAAAATTAGGAATCTAATAATTCATTTTCATTTATTAATTTATTCACAGCACAGGCATTATTCTCCTTCCAGAGATGCCTAAAAGTGCCTCCCATCCCCATCTTGGAGTACAAAGTTTAGGAACTGGAACAGAACAGGTGGGCTTTTAGGGCTTGAGCTTGGGACTGAGATAGGTCCGGCCAGGCTAAGGCTGGCAGAGCAGATAGAATTCTTGCCCCTCCTCTCCCAGCTCCTTAGACCTCCAAGGATTTGGCTTACTTTTAAGAATATGACTACAGAGTCTGACAATAAAATGTAGGCTTTTGGGTCCTTTTTATTGGCGCACAAGTCTTGTTGAGAAAGATTTTATTTTTCTATTATAGTGTATTTCTTAATGGGGAAAGTAATCTCAAATTAGGTAGGAGGAATGGAATTAGTTTACAATTACTATCTATCATTTTTGGTGATTCTTAAATTGATGTGTTACAAAACATGAAATATAGAAGACAAGATCCCCAACCCAGGTGGTGGTGGTTATCTAAAGGAGCAGTAAATAAAACACTGAAAAACAACTGAACACTGAACCTTTTCTGTTATTACTGGTGACTAGCTATTTGCATTGTATTTCTCCTAATTCAGTTTTGCCATTGTTTTATTCTGTACTGAAAACATGAGTTTTTAAATATTGCAGCCCTCTTCTTATTGGTTGTGGTTATAATTAACGTGAAATTGTCTTAACCTTTGGGTTCTGCAGATGCTGATCAAGTCATTTTTATGTATATTTAGGGAGAAGCATTTTTCTTAAAGAGTTGTTTGAGAAGTATTACTCTGAGAATAATTCATTGTTCTTATTCATTGTTACTAACTGAAAGAACTGAAGAAATTCAGTTAATCAGTTCATTGTACTCAGTGGGCTTAAAAAGGCAGCAAAGAATATTTAATTATTCGATTAACTGAAGTGTAGCTGAGGCTATCTGCCTGGGGCAATAACATTAACAGTATCTCAGAGGATGTATGTATACTGGAAACATTATGTGGATAAATCAGAAGTGCTGAGGGTATTATCTTGATATTCATTTTACATTTTTTCCCCACTTTCTGCCTTTACCATTTTTATTATTTCTTGTCCTTTACCTGGAGCTCTCATCACTGCAGGTTGGTTTTTTGTTTTTCTCCCCCCCCCCTTTCCTCTTTTTTCTACAATTCTTGTCTTAGTATTCCATGCTTGTTTCTGGCACTACCGCTCTGCTGTTTCCCACTTCGGTCTAGTGGGAAAGTAAAGATAAAGTTTGATCTAGTTGTGGATTGTCAAGAGTTGATGGAGGAGTTGGTTGTAACTTGATTAAAACTATAGAGGACTTTTAAAGAATTAATTTGTTTAAAAAGTGTAGCTTGCGAGGCAAAATGGATTTATAATTGAGAGAGGGAATATCATTTAGTGGATATAGACACAAGTTCTGAAATCAGACTGCCTGGATTCAAATCCTGGTTCTTGCCACTTCCTACCTGTGTTACCTTGGGTGGTTGATTTTACATCTTTGTGCCTTAATTTCATTCAGTAAGTATTAGCCATAAAAATACTGTTTAATACTTTTGAGAAATTGAATTTTCTAAGTAAATAAAAGTTTTATGATAGTGGCTACAAAGTTAATCTCCAGAAACTCTGGAGACTCTGTAAAGCCTGTGAGGACAAGGACTTGTTCTTCCTCTTGGGATTTTCCTCTTGTTAAGTTGTTTTTGTTTTTGTAGTATGGCAAGGAAAATATTACTTTTCCCCTTAATAAGTAGTGTATATGATTATATTATGGTATAATTCTAGAAGCAGAGAGTAGTGAAGAGATCTTATTTAGGGTGGGTATTTGGTTAAAATGAGCCCTGGTTTGTGGATAGAACCTGTACATTTTTTTTTCTTTTAAGTTTGTTTATTGTATTTTTCCCTATTACCATGTATCCCCCTTGTACCCACCTTCTCCCTGCAGTCACCACACTGTTGTCCATGTCCATGAGTCCTTTTTCCTTGGTCCCTCTATCCCCACCCTCCCATAGCTGTCATCCTGCTCTCTATCTATGAGCCTGTCTGTATTTTGCTTGTTAGTTCAGTTGGTTTATCAGATTCCACGTATGAGTGAATCATATGGTATTTGTCTTTCTGTGACTGGCTTATTTCACTTAGCATAGTGTTCTCCATGCTGTCACAAAGGGTAAAATTTTCTTTTTCTTTTTTATAGCTGAGTAGTATTCCCTTTCTAATGTATGTGTATACAGTATTATGGAGACTGATGTCTATCTTGCAAATAGTGTATAATTGAAATAGCTAGCCTCTGGAACTGGTTACATAGCAGATAGATTGCCCTGACAGGTGTAGCTCAGTTGGGCGTCATCCTGGAAAGTGAAAGGTTGCCAGTTCAGTTCCTAGTCAGGACAGATGCCTGGATTGCAGGTTCGGCCCCCTGTACGTTTGAGAGGAAACCAGTCAGTGTTTCACTCTCACATGGCTCTTTCTCTCATTGATAGTTCTCTCCCTGTCTTTCTCCCTATATTCACTTCTCTCTAAAAATAAAAAATAAAATCTTAAAAAAACCCCAGATACATAAATTCACCTATATTCTATCTTCAGCTATTGTAAGTTTTGGAGGTAGTACCTTATTTCCCAACTGGGGATGTTGAAATACAATATTTGAGCTAGAAACTAGTAAAGGAGTTGAAGGTAGTTGCAGTTTCGTTGCTTTTATAGGGCAGTTAAAGGAGATAAGAAAAGTTTAGCTATCTGATTTCTGGCCAGGACCCACTCACTTAAATGTTTCTACTAGAAATTGACAATTGATGTAAGCTGAGAGAACTTTGTTTCTGCATTGTTATATTTTGATAATTGACTGCAACATAAATGTGAATGGACTTGTTTTCATAGCAAAATTGATTTAATAAAATGAGGTACTGGAGCTGAACTAAAATTAATAAATGATCTTAGCTTCAGACTTGAAAACATTTAGGTTAAATTATTTTAGTTGTGAAATAATTTGACAAAGGAGGGTGACAGCAAGGTTACAGGGGTGGGCAAAAGTAGATAAATTACGAGCCATCATTACCTAAAAGGTAATTCATAAGTAAGGATACAAAATAATAATGAGAAGATAATATAAATGAATAATATAATAATTAATAAATACAATATAAGAATAAAGCCACATCCTCACAACTGTAAATCTATTTTTGTCTACCCCTATATATTTTATCCACTTGACACATGAGGAAAGCAGAGAAATTGACCCCAGTACTGGAATTGGTTTAAAATCAGCTTAAGAGGTAGAAGATTTATTAGCTCCATTTCTTCATCTTATTCTTTTTCTTTCTTTCTTAATTTTTTAACATTTTTAATTTAATGGCATTAATTACATTCACATTGTTAAAACCATCACAACTAGAGCTACCTGGGTGAGGCCGAAGATGGCTTGTCTACCTGGTACCTATATGAGGCTAGGGTGGGTGATCCCTATCATCTCCTTGAAGGTACCCTCTGGCCAATACTCCTGTGCTAGAGTGATGGGCTGTTGTAGGGGAGAGAACAATGGCAGAGAGCCTTGCTGGGGGTGCAGGGAGGTGCCTGTGGAGTTGGGTGCCCTGGCATGCAGAAGCTTCTCTCTTGGTGTTCCTGGATTGTTACATGCAAAGCTAACCCTTCTGCTGCCCAAAGTGATTGATTGTTGGAATGAGTAGAGGGCCATATTTGGGGTGTATGGTAACATTGGGATCCTAGAAAATTTTGAAAAGCAACCCAAAGAACTATTCAAGGGGCCCAGATAGCTTCAAGGTTGGAAGGGGAATGGATTGAAGTGTTGTATCTAAAAGAAGAAAATGGTTGGAAATCTGATGTTCATTGATAACCAGCACAACCTTAACAGACACATCAGCTATTTTTTTTCTTTTTTTCTTTCTTTTTTTTCTTTTTTCTTTTTTTTTCCTTTTTCTACCCCCTTAATTTTACAAACATCTTAACTGATGTGGAAAGTACCTATAGAAGACAAAGGTGGGGACAGTGGGAGAGGCATATATATTTTCCAGGTGAAGTGAAACTGCTTTTCCCTGTGAGGAAAGGGATTTGTATGCTCTCTGTAATATAATGGGGCTTCTATAGAATCTGTTATATACATGCTTACACACAAAACATCACAACTACTTCTAAAATTTTATCACCCCAATTAGAAACTCTAT